GTCATTTGGAGGTCATATCTGTATGACTATAGCAAAAGACCCATAGGTCTTTTCACAGCTCAATTCAATATGCTGTTATTTTTGCTTAAAGACTTGTGCACATCTTAGTATTTTTGAAAGGATAAGACATTGTATTTGGCATGGTTTTACTGTGAAGAAAGTAAAACCAATACTATACTTTTTGTGATGATGATTGTACAATTCCTGAAAGTCTGGAAAAAGTGAGTTACAGATAAATTGTGTCCTAACACAGCAATGAAAACAGGGAAAGCGTTCAAGTTGTGACATGAGTCAGTAGAACCGAGATTCCAGTTACAGCCTTGTAGACAATTTTTATCTTGAAACTTACGGTAAGCTAATGACTGATTTGAAAGAAACTGGAATTTTTCATGTATATGGATTTTAAGCTTGGAAAAAAACCTGAGAGCCGCTGCTTTGCGGAAGCAGCTACAGTACTGTTAGAATGTCTCTAGTATGAAGAATCTCGTATTACGTTGACTATGCTAGTCATCTGAGCTTCACAACAGTGAAAAAAAAGTTGGTTTTTTTTTAACCCCATCTCTAAAATTTGGGTTTAGTTAGGGGCAGGAAAAAATTGTAAAACTCAGACCCTCCTTCAACCTGCTCCTCTATATATCACTGGTAAGTCTGCTGCAGAAAAACTTTATGTAATTTTGCAGCTTTGCTGTTGGAGTCGCTTATAGCTGTTAAAGCGGGAACCTCTGCAGAGGTTTTTAAATGGTAAACAAACATGAACAAAGGAACTTGGTCTCCTGTTTATATAAGTAAAGAATACTCATGCAGATGTGAACACACGCATGTATGCAAGTGGTACAAGAGAGCGATGTTTAATATTTTTCCTGTGAAAAGACATGGTAAGATATCTAGCCCATATACCTCAAAATACATACTAATCTACATTGTATTCTTGTTTGAATTTATATGTTTGTGCCAATCAAAAGAACACATTTTAGATTATACTTTAGGCATTATATTACATAGTAGCACATAAGAGAATACTGTGAAATGATAAGTTGTATTACAGAATTCCACAGATAGTTTTCTGAAATACTTTCTCCCATCGTGGTGGTACCTGACAACTGTAACAGCTGAAACACCTGGTGACAACTCACCGGTAGCTTTCTGTGCTAATTTGTTAAAAGAAAAATGTCAGTTTCAGGATTAAATACTTCAGTCTCATTACTTTCACCTGATTTCTGGCTTATGGCTTTCACGAGTGGTTATCTATTATTAAACTGGCTTAACAAGATCTGTATTTTGCTGCAGGAGTAGTGTATCACATTCATCTGAGTCTGAAACAGTGTTTTTGCTAAACTGCAGAGATTTAAAATGTGGTGTTCATTTTGTAACTGATGGTTTGAGCTGAGCTTGGTAAAGAACAGGCCCTACTGCAGGCTAGCAGATTAATGTCAGCTGCTGTGCGACAATTGCTTATGTGTGCAGGCTGCATCTGTTAACCGAGGCACAGTAGTAGACAGCAAGTGGTGGTTTTATATACAGAAGTAATTGTTTTCAGAAATAGTAATGATATTATAGCTAATCTACAAGATGAACTTTCTCTAGTGATATTGTAGACTAAGAATACAAGTTAAAATAATTTTAAATTGCAGAAAGATAAAGAATGCATGGTTGATGGCTTAGAAACTTAAATGGTGACATACATGTATCCCTGGGCTTGATTGGATGGAAGAAAAGCTGTAACAGACCAGACTAGATGTCTGTCTAGCTGTTACTGAGAGCAATCAGTAGCAGATACCTGGGGAGGGATATAGGAGCATAACAGTTGTGGGGGTGCTACTTCCTAGACTGGTTTCCCAGACTCCAGCAATTTGTGGCTCAGAGTATTCTGGAAACTGTAACTTGTGTTTTTGATTTAATAGAGTTCCTGATCTTGACATTATCCAGTTGTGTGTATGTGTGTGTTTGTTTTTTTTTAATACATGTGCATTTTTTGTATCTGTGATATCTTGTGCTGAAGTTTTAGGACTTTGGCTTGCTTCAAAAGCTGACGACACTTACAAGTAGACCGTGACTGCTTTTGAAGTTTGCTTTATTACTTGAGGTGGTATGTCATCCTCCATACTTAAGCATTTTCTTAATCAGTTAAGTAGCTTGAATCTTCTTGAAAAGAAAGCTGTTCAGGAGTCTGGCTTATTTAGTTGGTTTGGAATTGCCAGTCAGAACAGTAGTGACAAAACCAAACAAAAATAAAGGTGAGAAACTAAATATTTAGGTCTCTCTCTTGCAGGTGATTACTTGGCCTTGATGCCACTCTTCTAAAAAGTGATTCAAAGATTACATTTTAAGTAATGCCCAGTCTGTTAGGAAAAGTGAAAGAAATGCTACACTTGTATCAAACTGAAAAGAGTGTATTTTTATTTCTAAATGAACCCTGGAAAAGGTCCGTAGCGTAACACTTTTGATGTTACGCTATACTTAGCTGAATTGAGCAAAAAAAGTATACGATCACTGGTAATAATGACACTGAGTCCGTCCTGATTGGGCAGTCACTTTTTTTCCATGTTATCCTATTCTAGGAATGTCATGTCATACATCTGTAAATGATTCTTATCTTAAAGGAAGAGTCAGTCTTCATGGTTTCTTTGTAAAAATGCAGTATACTCAAAACTGCCATGTTTATCTTCGAGCAGGGGATATTTTGTAAAACTTCGAAACTGAGGTATCTATGTATATAAACATAATAAAAATGAGGTACTCCAAGAAATTCTGTACTTGGCATTTCTCATCTTTCAGAGTGATCTTAATGGAGTAGCACATGGTCTTTTAAACTTTGCAGGTAGTTAATAGTTAAATGTTGTTTGTGGCTTATGTATGAAGACACATAATTTTAGGTAAATGCTACATGTGAAGGAGACTCAAAGCAGTAGCTCCTGTAACTCTAAGTGGAATCTTTATAGGATAACACTAATTGCTAACTAACACTTTTCCTGCAGCATTTTTTTTCCTAAAAATTAAATTAATACATGTGCATGTTGAAAACATAATGACTTTTTTTTCATGAATGGATGCTTGAAAGGCATCTTGTGACACTTGTTCATTGGTTTCACTGTGGGAAAAAAGTGAAGCTGCTGCTGAAAACCCTCTTGTACTAGGCATGCATTTAAATTGAGATTCTATGCTGTGTGTGTGTGTGTGTGTGTGTGTATGTATGTATGTATGTATGTATGTATGTAGCTTTCATCCTTGCAGATTCCCTCTTAATGGAGATTCTCTCAAGCCATCAAGTGATGGAGATTCTCTCCATCAAGCCACTGTTTCATTCTGGTGATTCAGAGCAGCTGTAAACTCAGTTTGCCAGGCCAGTGTTAGTGAAGTGGTGAACTGGTGAGACAACTGTTAGTATTAATTTAACAAAAAATGTGAAGAAGAGAAAGCTTGATACTAGTTTGCTTCCATAGTATTTCAGATACCACCTAGGGATACTATTTTTAAAATTCTTGTTTAAAGTTATTGTGGGTTTTTTGACAAACAAAACCCAGGCTTTTGATAAAAGGTTTTCAAATGATATTAAAGATCTTTAAAATATTTTGTAACTATACACTGTTTTTTAAGGAAACTTGACAGTGAAGCTCCGTGACCCTGTTGAAAGGAAAATGATAATTCTGGGGGAAAGAATGACAAACTAACACAGGAAACCACAGCTGATTGTAGTCACTGTAGTAACTTTTAGAAATAGTTTAGAAAATTATATTGTAGGATTTTATGAAAGATAATGGATACCTTTACTGAGAAATAAGATAAAAGCTAGTGCTGCTCTGTGTAGTGGAAGAATGGAAGAGGAACATAAAAAATTTGTTTTGTGGACAGATTTCTAAAGGAGAACAAAATTGTGCGCCTTGTGGGCCGTAAAAGCTAACCTTCATATTATTTAAGTTATACCATAAACTAGCTAGAACTTTATATAGTTTTTGTGACATACCTGAAGATTCATTGTGGTCTTTAATAAGAAGTAGGTATTTTTTTTGTCTTTTGATTAAAGAGCTTAGTCATACTATTCCAATTTTATGTAATTATTAATGCTGTATCAAATTAGTATAAAAGTAAGCATGGGTTGATTAGAACATTATCAGGGAAGAGGTTCAATGAAATTCAGTTCTAATCTCTTCCTCCCTGCTGGAAGAGTGTTTTCACAAAAAGAAATTCTTGGATTATCTTCTTAATTTTCTAGAAAACAGATTAACATTTTAAATGTCTTTGACTTCAGTTACAACAGTATTGAAAAGAATAAAGAATACTGTTTATATCTCTGACAAACGTTGAATATCCTGAAAGTTAAAGTTAACTCCCTAGATGAGAAAAGCTTGTGTTAGGTGTGGTTTTTTTTCCTCCTTTTTGCTTTGTTGTAGTTGTATGTTGAGGAGCCTCAGTCTTCTGGACACTGGTTTGCCAAGTACAAAGCCTTTAATTGTGAAGGGATTACTTTGAAGGAATTTTTCATAACATGTAATACAAGCCTAGCCATATTTTCTTACTTGAAGGCGTGTATAGTTAATGACTTTAAGTATTTTTAATACTGATATTTAATAATTTAATTGTTCCTGACTTTTTAATGTGAATCAATGTAGTAACGTAGTTAAAAGAGCAGTACACTGTATTACTTATGCTTTGGTTACATTAATGGCAAAATACAGTCTTTTATATGAGTTTTCTTTTTTCCTTTTTTTCCTTCTTGTTTTTGTGAGGAAAGAGTATGTATTTGAGTATGCTTTTCAGGTACCATTTGCTTCTGTCTTTTAATTTAATCTCTAAAAAGGCAAATCCTTTTGATTCCAAATTTTGTACAAGGGCACAGCTTTTCATATGTCTATGAGATTGATGAAAATAAGCATGTTTTCTATAACTTTGTTTTTCACAGGTGTATGTCACCTATCTGTTGCATATAAAGCTCAGTGATTCTTTTTGACAACTTGAAATGTTCTGCAAAACTGTGTAGTACTCCCATGTGTTCATGTTTGCAGGCTGTACATCTGGCCCAGGCAAGTTTCCAGATTGAGGCCTTTGGCTCCAAATTCATCCTTGACCTCACATTGAATAAGTAAGTGCACAAGTGTTTCTTTCTTTTCTGCTTTAATTTTGTTTAACTTATGGTACAAGGTCAGGGCATATAAAATTCCAAGATCTGTGGGAAAATATGCTGTTATCCAAGTTCATTAATACAAAGCAGTATTTAGCATTTTTAAAGTGAAATAACTGTTGCCTTTGCTGGTGCCCATCACATACATACCTTTAAAATTTTATCATTCAAGATAAAATAAATGATGATAAATAGATTCCAGTACCAGTAGTGCTTGAAAGGTGTGAAATTTCTTGTGCATTTTTTCACTTATTGATGAACTATCATGCGGATGTTATTTTCATTGCTCAAGGCAGTGTGTAGGAACATTGTAAATGATTGTGTGAATGGCTTGTCTTTTAATGATCTGGAAAACATCCTATTGTCACTATAATGATGAAGTTCCTAATAAGGTACAAATCCACTGGTTTGGCTGTATTTGGTCTTTTACCAGTAAGACAGACAATTTTAGATAATCATCAGGTCTGGAAGATCTGACTCGTAATACAAGTCAATGGTAGTTTAGTTGTGTGTATCACATCTATTTATGTCTCTAGCTGAAGGTGTGGAATTATCTGTTTTTCTAAATATTTTAAAGTATTTTTTTTTGGCACTGAAGGTTTGCACTGAGAAAGTTTAAGAGTAAGGGAGAAGTACAAAAGCAATACTAAATACTGGACAGGTAAAATTATCTACAGTATTGCTTAAAAGTGCATTTGCCCCTTCTGCTGCCCTTTAGCCTTTCAGCACACTTCAAGAGGAAACAAATTTGCAGAAAAAATTGCACACTAGTAAAAAAAAAAAAACCAACCAACCCACAATGTGTTCATCTGATCTGGAGGTCCATATGATGTCTTATTTTAATCATAACTGTCAAGTAATGAAAGTTTTGTTAGGGAGAAAAGTGCAAGCTTATTAAATTTAATAGCTTTTCAAAGCAGCAAGCTGTGGCTTTTTAAAATTTGCTGAATTGTTACATTCACACATTCTGCTGCTTAGCTACTAGATATCAGGTGCTTTGCTGGAAAAGAGAACTGGAAACATTTTCCTTTATCCATATGTGATTTTGAAGTTAGATTGCTCTTGCAGCTCTATCTTTTGAAGTGAGACACGAAGTATTGAGTGACTGGCAAAAGATGAGTTAGTATGAAGGCAAGGAATAGCACACAGAAAGAAAGGAGAGAGAAATGTTGGAGATAACTGGGTCTTCTTGAGTGACTGCAAGAACAGTAGTGTAGTGCAAGAGTATGGTGTTCTCTTATGAAGAGTCAGAGTTGGACCCATGCAGGGTAATTCCAGTGGGATAATAATGACATATTTGTGAAGGGAACCTGTATCTGGTGGTCTCTAAGCTACAGGGAATTCTTCTTCTTGATCTGCTTGCCGCTGTTACTGTTCACACATCCAGCCAGTAGTGAGACAGCACACATTCCTAAGATGGCACTATGCATAGGGTATGGCCTGTAACATTGACCATCACAGAGGAGAAACATTGCCTTTACTGCCACAACATATAAATGCAAACAGCACTGGGGTGAACAAGAATACAAACAGCCTGATAAAGTTCTTTTCCAGCTGATGGGAATTGGAAGTTTGCGAGTGAAACACGCACACCTGCCCTCCTCATCACTCATTAACTCAAATGTTAACATAGGCTTTAAGTTCATCAGACATTCATGCCTAGGCCTGAGATCTCTTACGTGGTCACTGACAGACCCTAGGTCTTTCCAGATAATGATTTCCTCATAGTTGTTGACTGACTCTGAAGTTTGCTTGCAGATCACATGCATGCAGAATAGAGAGCAAAGTCACACAGAAAATATTACAAGTAGGACCCAGTAAAAACATAGGATGGACTGCAGTGATCAGGTGCAGGGCTGGGCCAAACCTACTGACTTGCAGCTTACACTAATGACTCCTTTTTATGCCACTTCCTCTCCATTTCCCCACACTTGTTCCATCCTGATTCAGCTTCCCTACCTTTGGCACTTCTCCTGAACATCCCATAAAAATGTTTGCACATTTCCCAAAGCCCTTGCAGACATCTCTAATGTTTGTTCTTTCGCAGGACACCCATGATGACATAGTTTACCACTTTTTATCTGTTCTAAAGTTCTGGTTGAACCTCTTCGAGGCTACGCTTGTGTGGCTTCTTCCATGGCTTGTCAGTCAGTGACCTGACAGAGATAATGACAAAGACCAGAACTCTTATCTCCAGTTCATTTGGGTTTGTGTGTATTGATGTTGGTTGCTTTTCCTGTCCTAGTCTCTTATGCTGAGTGGCTGTTAACCAAATACCATCACAAACCTCATAGCCTTACATTCCACATATCCTTGCAATGTCACCCATTGTCGTACCCTGCTGTTTGTCCTTGCTTATTTATAGCAACAAATGGTCTATAAAGAAAGTGAAGGTACATATTTTTTCCAACTGTGGTTGCTTTATCAGCAATTGAGAAATGTAATGTCTTTCACTTCAAAAAGAGACATAAGGTACAGAGCAAGTGATCTCCATGTGAACTTCTGCTCTTGGGATATCAAGAATTTCCTGGCTATATGTAAGGTGCAGGGTGTTCAGCCCTTGCTGGTATCCCTGCCTTTTCCTCTTTATACACTAGGTCATCTCCTAGCTTCCTAAGTGGTTTTTGACTCATAAACGTTTGACTTGTTATCTGGTTTTGCTCCAGAAAATGAGTTAAAAAAACCTGTCCTACTTTTTGACCTGACATAAGACTCTACAACAGTAAGTCATAAAACTTGTAACATTATAAATTGTAAATACCCGTAGACAATGATTTGGAAAAGACCCATTCTTGTATCTCGGTTACATTTATGTGTTCAGCAAAATGCTGCCTTTTGCTACTATGTTGGATTACGATGAATTTTAGTTGTCATACTGGTATTACTAATGTCTAGTCAGAAGGAAAGGTGGAAGAACAAGGCCACAGACTTGAGCTGTTATGTGCTGTTGACCAAATAGTTCAGTCACACGTGGGATATGTATTCAAAATCCAGAATAGCCTTGAATATGTTGAATGTATATTTGTACCAGTTACTCTGAGGTGAGTTCATGTCACCTACTTTGTGTGTATTCTGGTGTTTTTGGGTTTTTGTTGTTGTTTGTTGTTTTTTTTAGGAAAGTCCTTAAAGTGTATAAAGCTAAAATCGGGATGGTTGTTGCCTACAAACGGGTTCTAGTTTTAGGTTTTCTTTATCTCTGTTGGAATCTATGCTACCTTTTATGTTCCAGCAGCTCTTTCTTTCCCAGCAAGTATTATAACTAGGAGGTGAAGATTGGATGTTCACTTGCATTAATAACTGTCAAGGTGGTAATCTGAAAGTTTTTAGATCATGTTAATAGAATTTACTTCATGTTTTCTATTTTGCTGTAGTGCAATGGCAGAAACAGCTTGAAGGAAATGTAAGCCCAAAACTCCTTGAATTCTGTGTACAGAGATAATTCAAGTGTAAGACTTGTATGGGGTTTGAGCGGGTAATCAACTTTTTAGTTGAGTTCATCAATTAAAACAGATGAAATATAATTTGTTTTCCTGAAGGTCACTCTTGGCAGCTTTTTCTGACAAAAAGATTCAGGAAAAAATATTAGTTTCAAACTCTTTACCAGTGTGGGCTACTCTACACTTGTTTATTATTTGCGTCAACTCCTTGTAACAATGTATTTGAGAAGTGAATGATCCTAGTATCCCTGAACAATTTATTTCTTTTTCACTTATGTATTCTATACATAAATAAATGTCTGTGAGGTGCTAACAAATTACTTTTTAATGATCTCTTTTCCACCAACATGTAAAAGGCTTTTAAGTTACTATTCTTCTGCTGAAAGACACATGTTTCTCCAGGTCACTCTTATGTCCCGTTTAAAGCTATCAGTCTTTATGTTCCACTGTAGTACTAAAACACATTAGAGAGCAATGCTGCCAAAAGCAGTGAATTAAAAATGTCTGCTTGCTGGTTTTTTAGTGATGAGGGAAGTTGGCTATATTGTCTAGCTGTTTTCAGCTGGTGGCCTAGCACTGGTCTCTAATAAAGGAGTCTCCTGTGGCACTGGGGGCTGGAGCTATGTAGAGCTTTCCCCTGCTGGGACTGTGGTGTGTGAGGTGCATACAAGGAATGGGAAATTGGGTACCTGAGCTGAACAGACACCGAAGGTAAAAATCAAGGACAAAAACCTTCTCTCTCTTCCTACTGAAAACTTCCCTTAAAACTTGAGAATCTGGGGAAAGTGAAAAAACCCCACACCACCAGAACCAGCCTGCATTTTTCGGCTTTTCTTTCTTTTCCCTCTAAAAGTCCATGTAGATTTCAAGGAAAATGGATTTTCTTTTCAGTGAAGTGATTATATGAAAAAAATCTGGCATCTTTGACATGAACTGAACACCCTCCCCCATTTGACTGTAACATGACTTAAATATTTGAGACATTGAAATATAATGACTCTTGTGAGCAGTCAGTCTCTTATGTGAGGTGCAGCAAACTTCCTTCTCAATTACTGTGTTCAGCCTTAAATTAGAAGCATGAATTATAAGCATTAAGTTATTCTGTCTTTTAAAAAGTTTCTTGTTTCTGTAATTGTGTTTAGTGTCATTCTCTTCAGGCATTCTTTTCCATCCTCTCTAAAGTTATGATAAAAATGTGTATTTTGTCATATTATGTATGCATGCACATTTGTATACTCACTAATGTGTGCTGTCTAGTGTTTTACTCGTCCACTCTTCCAGAAGTGCAGCAGGAGGGAGCACCAATCCTACTGTTGACCAAGGGCTTGCACTCTTAGCTCAAAGTCTCAAATATTTCTCAGCAGTATTTTTAGCTCCTTGTCATCTGCTTCTCTCATTCCTCCTAGAACTTTCTGAATCAGTCCTTTTAATATTTTTTTTTCTTCTTTTTTGTCATTTTTCTTCATCTCATCCCTTTCTCTTTGGCAAATATTTATAAAATAAGTGTGTATGTATGCCTGTTTC